AAATATTATCTAAATCTTTAAATAGAATAATAATAAAGAAAAAAATAGATAAATGAGATAAAAATTAATATTGAGTGTTTTTTTAAATTCTTTTAATATATTTTTTTAATGTGATTATATATAATTTTTTTAAAAAAATACTCCTATTAATTATTAAACACAATTTTTAACTCAACTTTAATTACTTAATTAAAATTTTTTAATTAAAAATTATTATAAAACTCAAGAATTGATAAAAAAAAAAATCTAAACTCTAATATAAAAAATAAAAATAAAAAAACCCGTGCGTTACCAAAACTAGTTAAAATTGATTTCTACTTAGATTTGGTTGCAATTAATTGCATGTTTAGTGTTGAAGATATGAATTGTTTTACTAATTCGTATATTCACGCCGCTTTTTACATTGTAAATTAGATAATTTATTTTTTAAAACTCTAAATTAGGTTAGAACCAGTTAAAACACCCTTTACACATTACATCTAAATTTTTTGTATTCAATTATTACCATATCAAATTCCTATTAAAAATATTCATTAACTGATGCTTATGTGAAATTAAGTTGGAAAAAAATTTCTTTATGCCTTTCTTCTTTTTTTTTTTTTTGGCTAAAAATGTCACGCCCCAGAACTCAAAATCGGGGACGTGGAAGACATCGTACACTTGTGAGGCAGGTCCCACAAGTGCTGTCACACCTCAAAACCCAAATCCGGGGACGTGGCAGACGCCGTGCACTTGTGAGAGGATCCCACAAATGCATAAGGCTCGAAATTTATCCAATTCACATCGACAATCCAATAACTTAAATCAAACATCTCAATTTGTTTCTATATCCAAAATGACTTAAATTCAAGTAATTGATCAAATGACCGAAATCTGTTTTGATCTCATAAATTCAAGCTAAAATCTATCTTACAAAAGCATGATTTATTTCTAAAATCTATATCAATCTCAAAATGGCTAGCCTTTTAACTCGTCACTTCCCGTGGTTTCTTCGTCCTCGGTTTCGCTTCCTGAAATGGTAGACAAGGAAAAACTATGAGATAAACTCATTAAGTAAAATATAGAGTGCCCTTAATTAAACTCATAGCATGCCAACAAGTATAATCACAAAAAACAGATACGAGTACGGGCATGAAATAGACGTCTCCTCTATAGGTCATGGCCAGTGTTATAAACCACCCACTGGCAGGCGAACTATTTGCTGGTGTATAACCCCCACTAGCAGGGTCACTCGAACGAACCGGTTCTATCAATAACATGTCGACATGTGCTAGCATTTATAAA